GAGACGCCCGGTTTACGTTGGTTAGGCGCGAAACCCGTAACTAGGGTACTGACTCGCCCCGGGTTAGTCTTAACTAAGTCTTGGTCATAAGGATGAGAGACTTAGGGCACTGCGGTAGGATCAATAAATAAAATCAGATCATCCAACCAGAGTTGTAAATTGTTACAATTGGAATTTATTCCTACCAGAAATAATTTAACTGTATGGCAAGATGCAAAGCACAACTATAGTTTAATGAAATATGGATCTGGCCCAATTAAGAATTTTATTTAAAAGAATCCACCGAACCAAGAGTTGTAATAAAGATTGCAATTGGAATGAATTCCTACCCAAATAACTTGACTATAGGGCAAGATGCAAAGCACAACTATAGTTAAGTAAAATATGGATCTTGGCCCGCTAGGGTATTCTTCAAATAGAGACCCCAAGTCAATAAGTTTCGTACCTGAGGGTAATTGACTTGTTAGAAATAGTGGGAGATTATTTAATAAAGACCTATTAGATACTTAATTCATGATAATAACTATCTTCGCAAAATTTTGAAGATGGCAAACAACAACAACACAAACAACCTCGCCCTGCATTCCATTCTGGATAAAGATAAATTGAATGGAACAAACTTTGTTGACTGGCAACGATATCTCTATATTGTTCTCCGCATGGATGAGAAAGAGTATGTTCTCGAAAAGCCCATTCCTCATGCCCCTCCCGCTAACGCCCCGAAAGCGGTTAAAGATGCCTACGAGAAACACGTTAAGGATGATAACCAGGTTAGCTGTGTCATGCTGGCAACCATGATAACCGAGCTGCAAAAACAACACGAGGACATGAAGGCCCACGAGATGATCCTGGCCTTGCGGCAGCTATACCAGGGGCACTCCAGGCATGAACGTTTTCTTGTGAGTAAGGCTCTCTTTAGTTGCAAGCTCTCTTCATGGAACCCGGTCGGTCCACACGTTCTCAAAATGATTGGTTACATAACCAATATGGAGAAACTCGGGTTCTCCTTGCAGAAGGAGCTGGCAACGGACCTGATCCTGCAGTCGCTCCTTGAGCTGTATAAGGGTTTTGTCATGAACTACATGATGCATGATCTTGACAAACCCCTTCCAGAGCTTCTTAAAATGCTCCAGAATGCAGAGGAGAACCTTACTAAGGGCAAGGGTGCTTCCGTCCTTATGGTCCAAGGCGGAAAGGGGAAGCCGAAGAAGGGCATTAAGATTAAGGCTAGGACGGTCGGAAAGCCTAAATCGAATTCCACTTCATTTGCAACCCAAAAACCCGTAGGAGGAGTTGCAAAGGACAAATGTCATCACTGTGGTAAGGCAGACCACTGGAGAAGAAACTGCAAGACATACCTCGCAACTAAGAAGAAGGAAGGTACGACCATTTCTTCTGAGGTGTATGTTATATAATTTAACATGTCTATATCTTCATCATGGATACTAGATACTGGATGTGAGTCTCGTATCTGTACTACCATGCAGGGACTGAAGCAGAGTAGACGGTTAGCTCGAGGCGAGATTGAACTCCGAGTCGGCAATGGTGCACCTGTTGCAGCTTTGGCAATCGGAACTTATAGTTTAGTCTTGCCTAGTGGTCTAATGTTGGAATTAAACGATTGCTTGTACGTTCCTACAATTAGCAGAAACATTATTTCTGTTTCATGTCTTGA